ATTTCGGGCAAAAGCATTTTTTTTAAATTAAAATATTTGGCCAAGTTTTTAAAAGGAAAAAATATATTTTTTAATAGAAGCATAAGTAATTTTTGAGAAGTAGAAAAAAGCAGTTTCTTCCGAAAGTACATTTGAGAAAAATACAGTTAGAAACACTTTTTAAAGCTTGATCAAACACTAGCTGTTGCTCAAAAGTGCTTTTCAAATTAATTAGCCAAATACAAAATGTTTTTCACCAAAAGTACTTTTGAAAAGCGTTTTTTAAAATAAGCTAATTTTCGGAGTTGGGCCAAACAGGCTATTCGAGCTACTTCTTCTCCTTCTTCCTCCTCTCCTTTTTCTTCTTCTCATCTTTGGTACCCCGGTTCTCCTCATGTTGTATTTACATTTTTTGAACAATATCATTACTGTTATAAATAGAATTTTATTTATGGTGAATATCTATATTTAGAGAGATTCTAGGGTTTATTACTTGGTGGCTAAGTCACCCTCTCCCTATAAATAGAGGGTTTTATTCCATTGTAATTCATCCCAAAATTCAATAAGAATTTCTCTCTCTCTACTTTTCTCTGCAATACTCTTGTTCTTCATTTATTGTTTCATAACACGTTATCAGCACGAGACTCTAACCAATTGAGTAGAAGCTTTGGGATTGAGCATAATGATTGTCAATTGTTCCATGAACTTCCTTCAAGAATAAATTTGGATTGAAGGTAAGTATTTTACCTTATGTTTTCTTTTAAATTCTTGAATTCTATAATTTGATTTTATAGACAAGCAAAGACAATAAATTTGATTATAACTCTAATGGAGCTTGTAAGAAATTATAACCACCTGAAGTGGTAAAATTTCTATGACTCGCCATGATCAAATTCATGTAAGATTATGGGCAAAGAATTGAAAACTCGTCCCATTGAATTTGCTCCATTCTCATTCCCTTAAGAGAATGTGATAGCAGTATGTGATAAGTCTGAAAGAAGATAAAATTATTACCGTGAAGGTATAAATGGATGTGGACGTGGTATTAGACGAAATTATAATCGCCATCATTGTGATAATGAGAATAATAAGGATTCTCAAAATAATCCTTCACTCTGTGAAAGTAATATTTGTCATCGATTTGACATGAGATTTTGTAAAGCACCTATAGATGATTATGGTCCATTCATGATGTGAATGTGACAACATCTGATTTATGAATACATATTCATTGTTCAAAGAATATGAACGTGCTAGTGGTAGTGAATATACCACACTCACCTCTAAAAGGAGGTTTGAGATGATATAAGAAAATAATGTCATTATTATGGTATGAATGGTCATTGGTCATGTACCTATTGTACGCCAAAATATTTTGGCATTGTGATTGTTAAAAGACAACGGTAATGCAAGAAACAGATCTTGCATATAATTTTGACCATAACCATAATGGTATAACTTTCTCTTTAAAAGAGATATTCACCATATAAGTGTTGATGAATATGTGGTACTACAAAATTAATTGAGAACTCTGCAAGAGCCAATTATACTATTTTGAAAAAACACAATTGATTAACAATAAGGTATTGTGTTATAGTAAGTCTCAAAGAAACTTATTCAGTTTCCAAAGTATACGCGAAAGCGGTTGATTATATTGAGACTATAAATAAAGGAAAGATTTAATATCTTCTATTACTACAACTTGTAGCGGGGTAATATGTATGTGAAAAGCTACCCGCTTTATTCTCCAGTTTATACTACATAAACAAAAAAATACCACAATGAAGTGGATATTTATTGATATAAAAACCCATATCATAATAAACTTGGAGTTTATTCATAATTGCACACATCATGGTGTAAACCTGAAGTTTATCAATATTGATAATTTATCCAGTTGGCATAATTGGTTTAGCCATGTTAATTCAAGTATGATGTGCAAAAATAAAAGAGAATTCACATGGGTAAATATTAAAGAGATAGAAAGTTCTTTACGAATTCTCTTACATTGCTTGTTCTCATTAATTAATGGACCAATTAAAATTGGGATTGAATCCCATGAATGCTGGAAATATCAAAGGTGAATATGGGCTCATTCACCTGCCATGTATACCACATAAGATGCATCTATGAGATGGTTACATGTGCGATTATTAATAACCCGCAACATGGTGTTTGCGAGGTAACTTGCTCAATAATTTAATTTCGAGCATAATTTCCAGATTTTCTATTCAAGATAGTTTATCTTGATAAGTTGGTTTACATCACAGTTGGTTTACAAAATAATTTATTGAGTGCTCCACTTAATAGCTAAACTATTGCTTTATGAAACAGTTATATATATATATATAATATATATATATATATATATTTATATATATATATATTATCCACAGTTTGATTATAAGATATATAGAGATATACCTTTATTTTCTCCCCTCACAAGTGGTTCAGGGTCAGGAACCAAATAATTCCATCTTATTATTATTGATGTGCGATGTATATTATGATTAGCACCATAACGCACAAAGATGAGTTCTCAAAGTTGAGGAAACAAGTTAGTTTTTCTAACATGAGGGGGAGACATGATAAACAGTTGAGAAAAAGTTACATGGAATGAATTATTATTTATACATCTCGATCCTCGAATAAGATAATATGAACTTGAAGTTCATAAAAGGATAATTCATGTGCAATTTATTGCAAAGCATGCCAGACGTTTTTGCTGACCCAAAGAAAGTAACTATATTCTCATTGCAAATGCTCCTATTAGAATAAGTCCTAGAAGGACAAAGTCTATAGTACGCTTAAAGCATATAGACAAATCGGTTTCAAATAAACTTCTTAATATAGAAGATGAGCAAATGATCAAAATGATCATAATAAGGAGGCAAGTGATCTAGAAGATCACATGACATAACACTTCATAAAATCTCAGGAAAGATTCAGGTACCTGAAAATATGAATGAAGAGATCTCTATGTCATGTCTTTATGAAAATAAAGCTGGAACCGATATAAAATGTTCGTCGACGACATCTATGTTTGCGCTAAGTATAGATGAGGATCTTAAGTATGTCGAATATAGACACAAAAAATACTAGCCAAATGAAAGAGACACAATTCGAATAGAATTTGTTTCATACGAAAGATATATAGTTTTGGACCTTCAGTTCAAACACTTGAAAGTATGAAGCCAATGATATGTGCAATCAGTTTTTCGATATCTTATTTGTCTAGCATGACATGAAAACTTGATATGCATCTAACTAAAGTCTATTATATGACTTATATGACAATCCTTGAAGGATTTAAATCGCTTGAAGCATATACAATTCTTGATCTTGAAGTACCACTTCCTAAGTGCAATTTGTGCACAAAGGTATCTTGCTATAACTATAAACATGATAATGTGATAGCGAGGATTTTCAAGGTGCAATATATTCATTCAAGTTAATATGGCTGATTTGTTCATCAAATCTCTACCAAAGATCTATTGAAGATGGTGCACAAGATTGGAATGCAAATGCTTAAGGATGTGAATGATGCTCTCATCAGGGGGAGTTAATAAGCGTTGTACTCTTTTTCCCTTACAAGGTTTTGTCCCACTGGTTTTCCTTGCAAGGTTTTTAACGAGGCAACCAAAAGGCGTATTATTAGATATGTGTACTCTTTTTCCTTCTCTAGAATTTTTTTCCCACTGGGTTTTATTTTAGTTAAGGTTTTAACGAGACACATTATTTGTTGAATAGACATTCAAGGGGGAGTGTTATAAATAGAATTTTATTTATGGTGAATGTCTATATTTAGAGAGATTCTAGGGTTTATTACTTGGTGGCTAAGTCACCCTCTCCCTATAAATAGAGGGTTTTATTCCATTGTAATTCATCCCAAAATTCAATAAGAATTTCTCTCTCTCTACTTTTCTCTGCAATACTCTTGTTCTTCATTTATTGTTTCATAACAATTACTTAATAAAAATCTTAACTAGTGTGATTTCTTAAAATATCTTTTTTATGTCTAATAGGTGAATGAAATTACCAGAAGAAGATATAGAAAGAGAAATCACTGTGTGAATTTACATGCTCTTTCTTTGATACTGGGCCTTACGTTGCACTTAGATATCGTTCCATCATTCCTTCCGCATGGCGTGCGTATATGTTGAGCCATTGCTTCACAATTGTTAGTAACCGAAGAACTTGAATTGAGTTGCATTTTTCTGAATTCTTTGTTCAATATAGTTGGGGGAAAGTATGTTCAATATAGTTGGCTATTTGTGTAAGTCTTGTCCATCGTCTAAGCTAGCGTTGGACATAAATTTGATTGAAATTTGAAAAGAGTTTTCAAAAGTGTGTTGAAAAATAATTTTTGAAAGTTAAAGTTGTGTTTGATCATGTATTTTATTTAAAGAAAAGTTGAAGTTCCGTGAGTGGAAGAAAAAATTTCATCTAAATACTGTCTTAAACCAATTTTTGGGAACTGGAAAATGTTTAAATTTTTTCCCCCCCAAAACATGATCATACTTCATAAACAATAAACGTTTTCAATTCTTTTTTCGAAAAAAATGAAGCCAAAATCTATGGCCAAACAGTAGCTAAAATTTCGGGATCTTTACTCAAATAGCCAGGCATATTCATTCTTTACTTTTCCTAGCCGGTGTACAAGATTATACAATTTTTATATACAGTTACACATATTGTATACGAATTATTTATATATTACACACCCATAAGCTATTTTAAGTTTAATTAATTGGGTGGATGGCTATTTAGGTTAATTCTTCTCCATTATTCTTTTTTTTTAATTGGCAAATCGTACATACTTTTTCACATTATTATCTAATTTATGTCTTTCTTTTGTTTTCTTTACTTTCTTCCGTTCCTTTTTATTCTGTTTTCTCCCCAACAGAAAATGGTAAAAAAATATATGAATCCCTCAAAACTATGCTTAACGAAAGAGAAAAATCGAGCAAAATTGCATCTTGCTTTTGCAGAAAATGGAACACTCACATAAAGTAAAAGAGGAAGCATGTGAAGGTTTAGTAACATTGTATAAAAATATTGGGTTCGTGGAATTACATACTCTCAATTGAATGTAAGTAAAAGAAACTGATACTACGAGATGTGACACTATACCTGTTGAACTTCTGCCATCATTAGTCATTATCAAGACGCTGAATCTAAACAAGTCAAGAAGTTCCAAATGTATGAGGTTTTCGTGTAACACTCGATTCATTAGCTCTCAGATACTACCAAATGGAAACCAGTAGACACACTTTGGATCCTATTAGTAAGTGACTGCAAACAAAAAAATACACATGAACAAATGAGTGCTCCTCAATGTTTCCCAAGTGATTTGTACTTCAAATGGAACCAAGAAAGCTTTCTGCTGTCATGTCTTTAGAAGACATGCTTTACAAACTCAGGCACGAGTCCTCTTCCGGGGAACAGCTACAACTTAACAACAGCTTGCTAATCTCCAGTCCCATCTTCCAGTAGGCAGTGTCTTTCAAGAATTGCAACAGTCTCTTCCTTGGCACTGTTATAAAGTTAGTGGTTTATCAAATTTAAACGAAACAATCTTACGATGACTTTCTAGTCCTAACAGTCAAACATCATGAGAAGTTGTTTCGACAACAGAGACATAGTTATTTGCAGAAAATACATACATGATCAAGTCATAGACATTATCTAGACGATTGCACCAGATAGAAATCTAGAAGGCGAAAAATCCAAAAACTGACATATATTCCACTTGAAGACTCTGTACTTGGAGAGAATAAAAGAAAATTTCGTCCCTGAAACAAGAAACGGTTTGCAAGTAGCATAACATTAATATGACCATGGCATGAGACAGGTTGTATATCTTAAGCTTATTGTATTTATTGGAGTAAGGGAATTGAGAATGATTGATTTGGCAAACAATATGAAAATTATTATGCATTTTCTCACTCAAGTATTTTCTGGCATTAATTTAAGAAGTCAACTCTTTTGAAGCATTCTCAGAAGTTTATGATCAGTTCAACTCGACAATAGTTCCCACCCTAGATATTGGAAGCTTACCTCCCAGGTCTTAGAATTTTGTACTTTCCCAACTTGGTAAGATCCACCACTGTCGATCCTGCTCGCCCAGCTGGAAGAATTCCGCCATCATAGACATATGCACAGTGCTCCCAAAGGTTCTCAAAATCTTTGATGTTTATGCTACTGGGTTGTCCACTGAGGTTTGCACTAGTAAGTGCAAGGGCACTTCTAGAACCACGGGCAATTGCCCTGATGAAGTTATAGTCAGGCACTCGAACCCCTATGCTCTCTAATCCAGGGTTTAATGACTTCTCAAGGATACTTGACTCACCTGCAAAATATCCATATTAAGCCGTTAAAACAGAAGATTCATAAGAGAAAGATAAAAGCTTCCAAAACTACTTAACATTAGCCAGATTTTGCCTAGGGGAGTGACTCTTCCTGGTCCTTATTCAAGTGTCTTACTCGAGAAATTACATACAGTTAGTATGTAAAATAAAGTAGTACTAATTTGAGATATTTAACCTTAAGATCTGAACAGAAAGGATACCCATCCCTGCCACATTTGTTGGACATAACCTACAATAAGCTACTAACCTCGCCTTAAGACCACAGTTACAGGTCCAGGAAGCAGGCAGTCAAGCAAGCCATGAGGCAGATGATCTGTCACAGCGTAACGTTGTATATCATGAACATCGCCAACACAAATAGCCAGAGGACTTGTATGCTTACGTCCTTTGATCTCGTAAATACGATTCACTGCTTCAGCAGAACTACATCAATGCACCATATAAAATTAAACCAGACTTCCCATAAATAGGACTTAGAGAAATAAACAACAAATTAAATTGTCTCCTTGATTGCTAGGTCAAATGAATAAACAGTGAATGACAAGAATGTTTCTTTTTTCTGAAAGTTAAATCAACCTGGAACCCCAATAAATTTTTCAATGAGAAATATATTATCTTCTGTTTTCTAACAACCTAGGTTCAAAAGATTTCTTTCTAGTTCACAGAACTAATCAGCACTTGCAGGTTTTGAGCATACCAAGTTTTGGCAGTAATCTTAATTCAATTTCCGTACTAGTCTCTGCTGCTAGCTCATTCAAAGGCAACTTAGCGACACCCATTCGCTGGTCTTGCCCAATGTCATTATGAAGACCTCCAAGATGAGAGATTGGGTCTCTTTGTGTTTTGCAATCAACTCAACTTCTGATTCTAAACGGGATTTAGGTTCTTCTCAATGATTTTGCTTAACCTTGAAAAGTGGATGAATGTATACAACCACAAATAGACCAGATTTTCCAAACATTTCATGGTTCTTTAAGCCATTAGCCTTTACTACAGTTCCTATGTGCTTCCCTGTGGCTTAAGCTCCAGATTGCTATTATCGATAGGCATGCCGTCAATCGGAACAACAATTTTTGCAGGGCCATTCTAGCAATATCTATCTGTCACGACCCAATTTTCATACCTGGTCGTGATGGCACCTCTCGTGAAGACAAGGCCAGCCAACTAACCCAATCCGTTTCTTTAACAATTATTAAACATAAATGTATAGATAAATATAGCTTAACAACAATAATAACCAGTATGTACAACCCAACACAACCCGACCGGGGTGTCACAAGTCACGAGCATCTAAAGAAACCTGAACACAACTACAGGGCCAATAATAATATATAAGGAAAAATCCTGGAAATCAAAAGACAACATCCGGTGCCGCGAACGCTGGCGGTCACCTTACTCAGCTACAATAGCCATACCTTCAATCAGCTAATAACCCGCTACCGGGTGAACAATACCTGCAACTGCACGGAGGTGCAGGGAGTAAAGTGAGTACTTCCAACTCAGTGAGTAATAAGAGTAAATAATAACTAAGAGGCAAGAAATCACGTAAGAGCAATCCATCATGCTATATAGGACAGTACCACTCTTTGAGAAAACAGTAAAACCGTGAAAATCCTTTAGAAAATATCTGGCTCAGTTTAAAACCTCTTTTGAAAACATCCTTTTCCAACAGTCAAGCAAATGAACGCGTAATCAGATAGTGCAAGTCCGCACATAAGACAGCCCCTCGGGCACAGCACTCCACAAACAGTTAACACCAGGGCGTCTGGTAAACTGTACAAGCAATAGCATGGATGCCAATGATATGAGAGTGCTAAATGTCATGACACGTAGTACAAACAGGAACCGATGCATGAATGCAATGCAATACACATGACCGCTGCGGCGCGCAGCCCGATCCATTTGGGTACCCGCGCTCACTGTGGGGGTTCAAACTCCGGAGGGGCTCCTACAGCCCAAGCGCAATATCAATATCACACCGCTGCGGCGCGCAGCCCGATCCATCCTCAGTCCAGAAATGCACATAAGCCCCTTGGGCAATAGTAAAATAACAGTCTCAACTCAAAACGTCAGTGAAATATCATTTAGGTTTTCAAATCTTAGAAAGATAGCTGAGTTTGCGAAACAGTATTTTAAACCTTGGACTGTGATAAAATAATATGCAAAGTAATGCAAAAACAGTGATATCAATCCCTGAAGGATTCAAACAATTGGCACGAAGCCCAAATATAACAATCAAACCAAATAATGATGACAACAAGTAGTTTCAGTCAATTACGCAATAAAACCAACAACCGGTACGGACTAAGTCACAATCCCCAACGGTGCTCTACCCCACGCTCATACCTGGCGTGCAAGTCACCACAATACAGCACTATGATGTGCAAATCCGGGGTTTCAAACCCTCAGGATATCATTTACAAGTATTACTCACTTCGGACCGGTGAAATCCCTAGCTCGCGACGCCTTTGCCCCTCAATTGGCCTCCACGCGCGTCGAATCTAACCAAAACCAGAGCGAATACATCACAATATGCTAAGGGAACAATACCCAATCGAAAACAATCGAAAATTAGCAAGAATCTCCAAACTAGCAAAACCCGAGCCCCGGACCCGCTTCTCGAAAAATTACGAAATTCACATCACCGGATTCCTCGTCTCGCCACGAGTCCATACATATAAAATTTACCAAAATCGGAGTTCGTTTGACCCTCCAAATTTCATTTTTACATCATAATTTTCTCAAACCCTAACTTCCATTTTTAACCTTTAATTCCTTGGATTTTCAGTGTTAATCCATGATTTTACACCATTATATCATAATCTAAGTCTAAGAATCCATACCTGATGATAGCCCTCGAAACCCTCTTCAAGAATCGCCCAAAATCTCCTTAGTCCGAAGTCCAAAATGTTTCTTCTCTTTCAAAATCGTGAAAACACTGTTCACTTAAACTCAGCCAGGTTTCGCTTCTGCGGTTGGGATACCGCACCTGCGGCTCCCGCTCTGCGCAAAATAACCGCTTCTGCGGTCTAACTTAAAATCCTCAGGACCGCTTCTGCGGTCACCACCCGCTCCTGCGATGTCCGTTTTTGCGGACTGCCTTCCGCTTCTGCGGAAATTGCCAAGCCCTCAAGGACCGCTTCTGCGATCACAGCTCCGCTTAAGCGGCAATACCAGAAACAGCATGAATTCAGCTGTATGAAATTCCAAAACCTCCCCGTTAGCCATCCGAAATCATCCCGAGGTCCCCGGGACCTCAACCAAAAGCACCAACATGACTTAAAACATTATCCAAACTTATTCCAATCATCAAAACACATCAAACAACACTAAAATTATCGATTCTCATCGGATTCAAGCCTAAGTTCTTTAAAAACTTCCGAAACTCGCATTCGATTAAAAACCCAACCAAGCGACGTCCGACTGACCTGAAAATTTGCAGATATATCCAAAATCACCTAACGAAGCTACTGCAACTCTCGGAATTCCATTCCGACCCTCGGATCAAAATCTCACATATCAACCGGATTTCGCCAAAATGCTAACTTCGCCAATTCAAGCCTAATTCTACACCGGACCTCCAAAACCAATTCAGATCACGCTCCCAAGTCACAAATCATCTCCCGAAGCTAACCGGATCATCGGAAATCACATCCGAACCTTCGAACTCATAAGTCAACGTCCGGTTGACTTTTCCAATTTAAGTCTTCCTTAAAGAGACTAAGTGTCTCATTTCCTATCCAAACCAATTCAATTAACTCTAACTCACTCGTTGCTGATAATGAAACATGAGAAGCAATAAATGAGGAAAACAGGGCGGTAATACCTGATACGACGGGTCGGGTCGTTACATCCTCCCCAACTTAAGCAAACGCTCGTCCTCGAGCGTATCCAGAGTTGCTCTAAAAGCTAACCAACAGCTGAATAACTTTACCAAGCATATACCCGGGATGATCCCACGTCACCCTATCTTACATAGGTCCGACAATACAACATAGCTGAAATTTCACAGTCCATCTAGACCATAAATCGTAGAATCACATTGCACTTTCCGAAATCATACACAAGATCAGGACCTCACATCTATACTCAGAATAGGCCCGAACCAACTGTAATAACCCATACCTACAACCTCGGTGAAATCATATGATGTACTACATAACCCAAACACTCGAAACGATAACTTCTATTCACAGTAGTTGCCCATAACAACCAAATACCGGCAGAAAACCTCTCATTAGCTAAAACCTTATTCCCACAATTTCCTATACTGCCAACGATAAATTAAACATGCTATAAACCGTAATCATTTCTCATATCAACCATTCATGAAACCGTTTCCCTTTTGACTAATACCACAACAGATTTCCGGGCCAAACCTCGATATTATACTTGTAACAAGCTGAAATCAAATCTGTTCGTATTCATTAATGACTCCAACGATCACCTCGAATCCAACACATCACTCTGGTGCTACGACACCTCAATACAGGCCTACGCCACGACTTGTATAATACACGCACCAACAAGAAACGGTCTGAACATACTCAAATCATGACAATTGACTCAAACGAAAGAGCTGTACCTCAAGCTCATCAGTACCATCACAACACAAGGCTGAGACCCCGTCTCACATCATAGAAATAGAATGCCTGAATCTACCTCGAAGGGTCATAACTCCACGTAGCCTCGCTACGATGCGCGATCATATCCACACACTGCTACACATGAAGCACCTCAATACACTGTGATCAAAATCCGACAGCTACACACAATTTGATGTCTGAAACCAAAGCAATTCATTACCCCCAACGGTGAAGCAAGTAATATACACCATTCAATCCTGAAAGGACACAACCGACGCGCTATTCGCCAAGCAACACCCAATACGGACTTTCCTCAGAAACCAGGAAGCAAGGTATATAAGGTAACATATGGAAAACTATTCTCAACATCACACTGTTGCGGCGTGCAACCCGATCCAGATAACATACCCGTGGCGGCGTGCCACGCGCTCCACACAAATATCTCACATGGGGAGATGCACATCGAACCAAATTTGTTCATTATAACAAAATACCGAGTATCGGTCGTAAGCATACTGAGTGCATAATGGTATCTACATATAGCGTTGTAAGCTACAAAACTCAAACACAACTGAGGTCCCCCCTTCAACTTCCACTATGAATCTCGATAGCACCGCACTATATGTGCCCACAGTCCGAAAATCATAACGCCTCACCGCACAGAAAAAGAAACAACTCATAGATCTTCCCAAATCACCAACCAGTTCAAGAACAATCGAATCAACCTATCCCTCAGCAATACAGCTCGGGGCTAACCAAGCTAACTCAAGCTAAATACGTAGCCACATTGGCCTGCCAACGAACTCAATACCAGGAAGCCTGAAGCTGCTCCTTCTACTACTATGACTCCTGCCAGAGTCGTACAATACGGTGCCCGGCACCAAATCAACATCGAAATCCACCACCTCGCCCGGAAACATGCCCGGCCACAAGGAACGCATCCGAAAAAGTCACTCAATACCGGAACTGAATCAATGGTAGAAATCTCTGCACTGACATCCGTCGGGAAGGCCCTATTAAGGAAAGCAATCCTTCTCAGCCGTCCGCTGAATCTTTTGAAATACCACTCTGCAAGAACATAATCCAATGCACCTCGCCACTCAACCCGTGGCATTTCCGGCATAGCCCGTAGTACAATAGTCTAGAATAATCCAACACTAAGACAACCAGTCTACAATCCAATATCATATATA